CTTAAAAAAAAAAAAAGAGATTAGATTTGTGGTTACCAAAGGTGGGGGTGGGGGAATTGGATGAAGGCAGTCAATAAAGTACCAACTTCCAGTTTTAAGATAAATACGAACTAGGCATGTAATGTATAACATGATAAGATAAGTGCTCACTTCGGCAGAACATATACTAAAATTGGAACGATACGGAGAAGATTAGCATGGCCCCTGTGTAAGGATGACACGCAAATTCATGAAGCATTCCATATTTTTTTTTTTGTAAGGGTTTCTAGATGAAGAGAGTGAGAAAAAAGGACTTTCTTTTGGAGGAGGTACTTGATGTAAATAAACCAATGCAATAAAAAAAAACATGATAAGATAATTAACAGTGCTGTATGTTATATATGAAAGTTGTTAAGAGAAAAAATCCAAAGAGTTCTCACTGCAACAGGAAAAAAAAAAAAAAAAACCACTCCCAGGAATAGAGGGCTCCCTCCCAGGGACAGGTTTACAGATGGTGGTGACAGAAGTGTGGTAGGAAAGGGACTGAAGGGATCTAGACAATCACCCAGGGCAGGGTGAGACTCAAGCTCACAGGCCTCTGGCCAGTCTCCAGGAGCAAGTGGATGGGTCCAACCTCTGGGAACACCGAGGAGGTGGGAGAAGCCGCAAACGAGCAGCGTCTCCGCAGGGCTCACCTTGGCCTGCAGCCCTGGCTCACAGGCATTGGCAGTCTCGCTCTGGAACAAAGGTTCCCTGTGGCTCTCTCACAGGCAGGTCAGGGCAGGGCCTGAGCTGCTGAAATGCTTCAAGGACAGGTGCATACACCCTCCTGGGTTCCAAACCTGCTTAAGTCACTGGGAAAGGGTGGCGATGTGCCTGTGGGGCTTTCCAACCACTGATTTTTTTTTTTTCATCAGAGGAGGAACCTTGGGGTGCTCAATCATCTTCAAAAGCAAAACAGAGAGCATTAATATGACATTATTCTTTAAACACTATAATGATTTTCTAGTAGTTATGCAAGTGGTTGGAAGTGTAGTGGTAAGGAGTAGAAAACACAAGGTCTTTAAATCTACAGCTGTGAGTAGCTTGATCAATGCTTAACTGCAGGCCTCCCTTTTGTTACATGTAACAATCACTTTGGGCCTCAGTTTCCTCATCTGTAAGATGGGGTAATATAAATACTGACCTCAGAAGGTTCCTGGGGGATCAAATAAGGTAAAAATTGTGTACAGCTCTCAGCCCAGTGATGGCCCATGCTGAGTTCTCAATATATGATTTCCTTTCCTATAACTGAACAGCATGTCCAACAAAGATATTTCCTATAACCCTGAAATTGTGACTAAGACTCATTTGAGGATAAAATGCTCTCAGTGCTCTTGATTTGTAAGTTCAAGGAACTGACAAAACTTGGGGCCAGCCACCCACCCCACCCCCACCCCCACAAGCCTGTACTAGTCCAGAATCAGTCTTACCATCAAAAATCAGTATCACCCACTTCGACCCATCCAACCCCAAGTCAGGAGAAGATCCAGATGAGAGAATGGCACTGGGGTGAGCAAGGGTGGTCATGACTGATGATCTGAGAGACAGGATATCCCCTCCCCTTACCCAAGGAGCAAGGAGGTGGGGTCCATGTGCTTCTTCAAGTCGAGGGAGTGGAGGCCCCAAGAGAATTACTCCACGTGGTGGGGCTGGTACCCCAGGGCCCCGTGGGGACCCCTGCTTAGAAGAGACTTGGCAGAGCTGCCTGTGGGCCTCCTATGCTGGAACAGCTCAACAGAGACCGTATGCTGGGGACATCCAGGTGCCAGCAGGTCTGTTCCACCACTGCAGGCGGAGGACAGAGCCCACACGTTCCTGCTGCTCTATGGTGGGCAATGCAGGGATCATGAGGCTGAGGTCTATGGCCTTACTGGGGCCACCTTAGTGTAGGGACAGAGAGAAGGAGTCCTAATCAGGGGGATGGGAGGTGAGTGCTCCCAGCGGAAAAACTGGTCAAATCTCCCAGCAGACCATCAAGACCACCAGACCCTGGAAGCAGCGTGGGAGTGAGTGCCCAGTCAGCAGGGCACACAGAGACCCCCACCCAGGAGTAGTGGCAGTGAGAGTCGTCTGAGAGAAGGACAGCACCTTCATCCCTGGCAGAACTCCGCTTCCCTGCTCTGGCCCTGATCCTGGCCGCTCGGGCACGGGGGCGAGGGATGGGGAAGGAAGGCATCGTGCCCCACCCCACTTCAGTCTTCCAAAGCCACCTGCTCTGGGGGGGGGGGGGACACCAGGAAAAGGCTTTGAGTTTGAGATTGAAGTTTAAAAATGAACAAGACTGAGTCTTAAATACTGACATAAATCCATCCTTAAATTTATGACATAAAGCCTTAAAAGCACGTGCATGCACGCGTGCCTGCTCAGCTGTGTCTGAATCTTTCAAGACTCCATGAACTGAGGCTCACCAGGCTCCTCTGTCCATGGAGTTTTCCATGCAGGAATAATGGAGGTGGTTGCCATTTTCTCCTCCAGGGGATCTTCCCGACCCAGGGATGGAACCCATGTCTCTTGCATCTCCCAATAACTGTGCAAGACTGAAGAGAAATAGGTTCTGGCCCAGACATTAAGTGAGCCTCGACCCAGCAGGAAAGATGGGGGTTAGCATAGCACAGCTGGGGGCAGTTCCTGAAAAACTCAATTCATGGTTTTACCCCAGTGACTGATTCTCAACCCACTGGTTCTAGTTCTTCTCTGCTCAGAGACTCACATGGGCCACATCCCACCACTGGCTGGGGGCCGGGGTTGGTCCCTCTGCAGGATGTGCCTTTGGGAGCTGCCCAGCATCTTCTGAGACAGTGTCCACTAGAACAAAGGTTCTACATCTGTTTTGGCTTCTTTAACCTGTACATGGCATGCTTGCATTTTATCCAGCTGCTGTTCCTAAAGACACCATGAATGTGAGCTCTGAAATCACCTGGGTTCAACACCTTGCCCTGCCACTCACTCACTAGAGGCTTCACAACTTCATTAAGGCAAAATTTCCTCGTCTGTAAACTCGGTCTACTGTAAATTCCAACACCTGTTGTGAGCGCTGGGGCTGATGTGGATAAAAGCTTTCAAAGCACGTGCATGCGTGCTCAGTTGTATCTGACTCTTTTGCGATCCCACGGACTGTAGCTCACCAGGTTCCTCTGTCTGTGGAATCTTCCAAGCAAGAATACTGGAGTGGATTGCCATTTTCCCTCCAGGGGATCTTTCTGACTCAGGGATCGGACCCAGGTCTCTTGCGTCTCCTGTGTTGGCAGGTGGATTCCACTAAGCCACCTGGGTGCAGTTGGTACTTATTCATTCAACAAACACTTGTTGAGTAGACTGTCTATGCCTTAAGGTATAGAGAAGATGGGGCAGGTGGGGGCGGGGGAGAAACAGGGCAGGCAGAAGGCAGGACAATGTGTAGATGGATGGCAGGTGGCTAGGGTCCCCTTCAGACCATATGAGATGAAGCTGGCCTGCGGTCTACATCCCCTGGAGCTCCTTCTGCTGTACATAACTTGTAGAAGCCCCTCCTGATGCTCCGCTGTGAGGGCACAAGCCCAGGATCTAATCACACCCAGGAACTAGAATGAAAGCGTGCCCACCACCTACACCAGCACTCTCTTCCAGGAAGAAATGATGTGCTCCTTGGAACAGAAATTTGCATCTGCCTACGTCTCCATGGAAATACCACCAACAACCCCCCACACCCCAGCAAGGTGCATGCCACATGCCATTCAGCCCAGGTCTCATCCCCGGTAGAGAAGGGCCCACCAAGGGCCCATAGCCCAGACCAAGCAATCCTCTGTGGACCCTTCTCTCTGAGCTGAGATGAAGGCTGATCACTAGGAGCTCGCTCAGAGACTTCTGGAAGCAGTGTGACCATACCTGACCCAGGACAGCCCCAGCCTATTAGAGCTCCCACTTGGGGAATTGCGATCAGAGACACAAGGCACCAATAGTGGTCGCCCACCTCCAAAACCGAGAGAGACTACAGTCCAGAAACCCAGCCAGGACAACCAAGCTTTCGCCACGCAGCAGGGCAAAGGTAAGGAACAGGGCCCAAAAGGTTCATATTTGCAAACTTACCTGCTCCACGGGCTGCGTTGTTCCTCAGCACTCCCCGCCTCCCCACCCTAACCCCTAGAGTGGACGCTAACAGGCAACTTTGCAAAACACAAGCATGCTAGGGTGGTGTCATCTGAAGCCCACACGGCTCTACCTGTTCTGGGAAAACTGGAGGCAGGTGCAGCCTAATGAGTTTGGGAGGATGCCGGGGCCTGTGGCAGCCTTGGAGCTGGCAGCTGCTTATATTTACAAACAGGAGAGAGAGAGAGACAGCGAGTTTCCACAATGAGACGTTGCCTGAGGAGGCTAGGAATTCAGACCAGCCATCTCCAGACCAACACTTAATTGAACAGCAAACCACCAGCAAACACTAATGTGTTAATTAGCCACCAAATTGGAGTTAATTAAAAACTAATCAGGATGTCAGAATGGAGAGTCTCATTAATAAATCACGTGCTTTTTTTTTTTGGAGCTAGGAAAAGTGCTGCTTCTTCTAACAAAAGTAAGAGATAAGGATTAGGCATTTTTCCCTGGGAACTTGTACGATTTAAATATGTTCTGTGGTTAAGTGTTCTCTCTCCCACAGATAAGGCCTGGCTTGATAATTAACTGACTCGCCGGTCATGTGAATCAAATCGGCATTGTGTGATGAAACCCTTCTCAGAGAGAACCAGCTCCGTCTTTACTGCTCCCTCTGTGCCAGGCAGACAAGGCTGGCATGGTTGGATCGGCACTCTTGGAGTGATTCTTCAGGTTGTCAAAAAAACTGGCATCCTCAAGTGTAGACAAGCATTGAGCAGTCTCAAAACCAGAAAGAAACAAGACTGGAAGGGTCTACCAGGACCCACTGGCTTAACTCTATAAATGTCATCAATAAGCAATAGCTGGGCATTTCAAACAGTGAAAGCTCAACTTCATGACAAGCGCTCACTCACCTTCTGCAGAGAGTCCCTGGATGTTTATTCCCTTAGCTGCCAGGAAATTCAAGCAGGCATCTATGTTTTCAATCTAGGAGGAAAAAAACGCAATATACACTCAATAAATGTTTAGCCTTCTCCAGAGCCATCTCTTATTAGGAACAAGAGGCTATGTCAGAGAGAGGGTTCATTGTGCATTTGCTAAGTTTCTCGAAGAGGAAAAAAATGACACGAAAATGCCAAATGGACGGATGGATGGATGCAGGTCAGGACTCTCCTTTGTCTGTACTTGCACAGGAAAACGTTACCTAATATCCTAACCACACACAGTGCCAAGAGTCGAGGCCTTGGATTGCTCATGGCTGCCACAAATAACCAGGGTGAAATGGGAGCTCTCGTGTTGATCACTGTTAGCAGTGCTAAACTGAACACTTGAGCAGCTGCCAGAAACATGGAGGTGGGGATGAGGTCAGGAGACCCACCCCCCCCACCAGCAGCAGCTGGGAGAGGTTTCCAGCCCCCGAGGAGGCAAGCGGTCAAATATAAAAAGAGTGAATGGGAATTTCAGCAGGAATCTGGGTAGTGTTGACTCACGAAATTCTCAGGATGGCAGGCATCGCAGAGGACAGAGGAGAGCTGCCAACTCACCCAACCTCTCTGTCGTTTGTGTCTTCTGTAGCAAGAAGGGACCTGACCCCACCAGAGCCTGAGAAGCCTTCCAGCCTTTCCAGGGTGGATGCTACGGCCAAGGGAAGCTCACGTTCCCCACCCCCCACGGCAGGAAAGAGCAATTAGGTCATTCCCAAAGGTCTAATTTGACTTCAGTTGTCAGGGTTAATTACTTTTAGGTCTACAGGAAAATGTTCAGGCTTGATTCATGTCAATGGTAACCATAAATAAAAGAAATTGCTTTAGACTTGACAGAGGGAACTTTGGACTTCACAGAGTTTGCATTTCACGTCTTCCTTACCTCTACAACCCCCTAGCCCCCGCCCGACTTCCCAGGCTCCAGCCACATGCTTATGAGTTCAAACCAGTATTTGACCCCAGGAGTTTGTTCTGAACCCATAAATGACTGTCTATCACACTGTGCTTGTGACCATTCTCCTCTCCTCCCCCAAGCAACATCCTGATGGCTCCGTCATAGCCACAGAGTAAAGTGTTTCTATTTTACGAGCTCTCATTTCAGTACAGTCTGGCTCCAAGGCAGTCGTCTTCAAGTTCATGTCCACCCTCCCCTGATGTCTGGCATTCTCTGTTCTCAGTCTTCGCAGTTTCTAAACATGTTAAGTTAAGCTTGGGGACATCTGAATAAAACTGCATCCACTGAAAAAGAATCTGCTCCATCCTCACGTTTTTTTTTTTTTTAAGCTCAGGTTCCCATCTCTTTCCCAGCTTCCAGGGTCTTCATCTGGGAGGCACTCTTTCATCTCTAGGAAAAGGGGTAGAATGCAATTTCCCACCAATAAAATAAATGCTGATGCTATGGGTTTTGCCTGCCACCATGGCAGAAAGTCGTATCTTACAAAGCCGGAGGAAAAATGAGATGGCTTTAAGCACTCCTTTCTTCTCCCCAGTGCAGAGTGACTGACAGTGACAACCAGGTGCTACCATCTTGGAGGGAAGTGGGGGGAGGAAAGGGGTGACCAGAGAAGGAAGAGAATGGCTGGGAGGATCCTGTGCAAGGTGTTTTAGAGCAGCCAGCTTCTGTGTAGAAGTGAAATAAAAATCCTCTCTCTAAATGTGACTGCACTCTATTACAAAACCGTGCTTTTGAGAATTCATGCTATTGTACACAGTGATAACAGGCCAAAACCACTCAACTTAAATCACGGTAAAATCACAAAATTCTCCTGCTACTACTTCTCTCTTCCTATAATCCTATCCACTTTTTTTGGGGCGGGGGGTATGTGTTTATTTTTTAATTTTTAAATTAATTTTATTGAGGTATAGTCAATTTACAAAGTTGTGTTAATCTGTAAAGTGATTCAGTTATATATACATTCTTTTCCATATCCTTTTCCTTATAGTTTATCAGAGGACACTGGATACATTTCCCTGTGCTATACAGGACCCAAACCTACTTCTTTTAATATCTTGTGGTGCACAGCTCCAAAGGGAGGCTTTGGCAATTATGTCCCTGTGGAAAATGAGAAGCAGAAAAAAGCTGACAGCCCCTGAACCTGATAATGAAAAATCAAAAATAGTATGCTTGTTATTTACCCCGGGAGGTGTCACGTGGGTGGGCTGAGATGGGTAGGTTTAAGTGTTTTTCACCAATACTGTGGCAGTGTGACAGTGAACACATAAAAAAGGACGCCTACCAACATAGTCAGGAAAAGCTCTGCTCTCCTACAACGTGGCAATTCTACAGAACTTCCCTTCCAAGGAGCACATTTATGGAGCATTTGATGTATGTGCCATCATTTAAAGTCCATGGTAATTTCTTCTTGCAAGGCTAGCCTTGGTACATTTCAATTGATCCACGGGTTTTCTTTTTAAATGTTAAATTCTGTTAGTGTGTGAAGTCGCTCAGTCGTGTCCAACTCTTTGCGACCCCCAGGCTCCTCTGTCCATGGGATTCTCCAGGCAAGAATACTGGAGTGGGTTGCCATTTCCTTCTCCAGGGGATCATCCCAACCCAGGGATCGAACCTGGGTCTCCCGCATTGCAGGCAGACGCATTATCCTCTGAGCCTCCAGGGAAGTCCTAAATTCTGTTAAGGGGAGGAATAATATACATGGGTTACCTAGAATACTTCATCTCTCATTGATTTTTTTTTTACAGAGTCCTATCACTCTGTCAATGAACTTCATAATTTTGATCAGTAGTTCTTTGCTGAGTGAAGGAGACGAAGAAAGGAGGGTTTCGTGCACCCCCCCTCGGGGGGAGGCATCTGGCCACATCTGGTCACATTCGGGGTTGTCACAACCCTGAAGGGAACTGACATCTAGTTTTCAGAGGCTACATTTGCTACTAACACAGATCCCTCCCAATAAGGAATTATCCAACGCCACATGTCAGCAGTGCCAAGGATGAGAAATCTGAGATGATTCTTTTAATCACTCATTCAATCAAGGTAATTATGTGATGTCTGCTCTGTGCCAGGTACTATGCTCCATCCTTTTGCGAGAGTTGGTCCAGAGCTCTCCTCCCAGTCCAGGAGTCCACACTTACACAATCCTCCTCTTTAGGGTCCACACACACCCCGACTCCCCTCCGTTTCCAGGAGAATCAGAGCATCTAATAAACAAGGGAAACATTAGGATCTCCCTCCATTAGGTGAAGAGAGGAGGCCCCAGGGCACCAGGAATGCTTTCTCCTAAAGAGGAGATGAAACAGGAACACTATCCAGATGGCTGAGCTGCACTCCCAGAAAACGTAAAACCTAAAAATAAGAACTTGGTTCATCATTTAAAAGACGATTCCTAAGCCCGTCAAGCGCCCTGAATTTTCTTCCCCCTCTACCATGAATTCTTTGCTCACAGGAGGAGTTCAAAACACATTCCTCAAGGTTCAAATCCATTCTTTAATGATGTTCCATTAAGGTTAAAACTCATGCCTGACAAGGCGGCAGAGACCCACACTCTTTTCATCTGTACCCCAGGAAGGGCATGGGGCTGGGGAGCAAGGTCAGATGTGGATTCCAACCTCCCGCTTCACTTGGAATGAGATCAGAAGGGGAGACTGTTTCTTTGATCCAGGCTCTCTAGTGATTCAAAATCACCTTACAGTTTTCTTATAAACACTGTTCAGGTAAATAATCCAGCCTCCTATATGACTGAGGCTGCACACTCCCACCACAGCATCCCCGGAGGGGACTGGCCAGTGGCAGCCCCTGGGGTTCCCATCACAGCACAATGAGGTGCCTGCCCATCTTTAAAGAGCCTCGTGGCTCATATGGGATCCAGACATCTAGTGTGGGATGCGGGTCCTGCTAAAGTTGAGGGGCAGAGTGAAGGAAAAGACTCTTCACCAGCAAAGTATGTAAATAGAACCGAAGTTGTTCATTAACACATAGCGGCCAATATAAACTGCTTTCCAAAATTAGCTGAAAAAAATATCTGTGCAAAGTCTGACATTCCAGTGTTGCTGAAGGGGTGGGGAGGGGCCCTGGGTGAGAAGGCTGCTGTGGCTGTAGACATGGAAATGGGTCCAAGAGCTCTGGGATCAAGCTCCTGGAGTTTGCAATGCTAGCTGGGGTGGAGATGGGAAGCTGAGAAGTGGGACCACAGCACCAGACGCCTTGGGAGGAGAAAGGAGCTGGATGAAAGAGAGGGCAGAGTAAGGGGACACAGTGAGACCAGGATGCATTTCCCAGGGTTTCCTTTTGCTTTGGGGCCATATGTGGCCTCCACCCTGTGCGGTCCATGAACATCCGAGAGAGAAAGGCTGGCAATTTTAAGCCTTTCCCCCCACTCTCCGCCAGGACCTCCATCCCATAGTTGAATAGCTTCTCAGCAGTCTCTAAACATTAGACCTGCAGGCCAACTTCCATGGACCAAGTACGATGTAGCCTAGCTCTCCCACGTGCAGAAATACATCTACATCCAGGCCAGGCAGAGAGCAAGGAAAATCAAAACAAATGGCAAACAACTGGAAAGAGAAGGGAGGGGGCTTGGAGGCAAATGGAAAACTTTACATTTCAGTCATGGTTAAGGCCGGACTGGGTCTCATGATAACTTAAAATATGCAAACCTCAGAAGCACTGCTGTATATCTCCTCTGTAGCTTAGAGACTGATCAAATACCATCTGTTGTGGCAGTTGTCATGGTAGCATTTTACTCTGAATACCAGCATAGCTGACTGCAAAGTGTATGAAACTGATTAATCCAGATGAAGAGCATCTCTGCTGCAGCCCAGGGGAAGGTAGGGTTCCAAGCAGACCAAGTGAATGCGGTGCTGGTTTTGATGAGTTTAGTTCCTCACTAAGCCCCTTGGAGGTCTCCATCTCAAGAAGATGAAATTGACAAGGAAGGCAAACAGATCTTGCTTTAGAGTCAGGCTTGGTCATAGTCATGAAAGAAAAACCAAACATGAAAAGCCTAGAGCTTAGGTAGTGGGACACCTGGACCTCAGGCAAGGCTGAGC